AGAGTACATCTATCTCTGTGTGCGTTGGCGATTTTTTACAATTTTAGAAATGGACTTAAATTTGCAACAATTAAATTTTGCGTAAAAAACGGATTTAATGGTGCGCGAACGTTGGAAAAGTGTTTCGGCAACGATTCTCTAAAGAAAACGGTCGTTTATCAGTGGCACGAGCGTTTCAAAAGTGGTCGTGAGTCAAACAAAGATGATGAACGCAGTGGCAGACCATCGACGACGAAAACATTGATAAAGTAAAAGAAATGTTGGTCAATAACCGCAAATTAACCCTCAGAGAGATAGCGGAGGGCTTGAACATTGCCTATGGATCTGTCCAAAACATTTTGGTTAATGATTTGGGTTTCCGTTGTGCAGCAGCAAAGTTGGTGCCAAAAGACCTCAATTTCATGCAAAAAAGAGACCGCGTTGAGGTCGCAAAAGACATGATTTGCAAGGCTGAATCCAATCCCACATTCATCAAAAGGATCATTACTAGAGACGAGACGTGAGTTTATGAGTATGACACGCAATCCAGACATCAGGCAAGTGAATGGCATTCATCAAAGTAAAAATCCCAGGAAGCACTGATGGACATACCGAAAACCGAATATAAAAAATGTTTCAAGGATCAAGCGCTGGCATAAGTGTGTTGCAGTCGATGGGGATTACTTTGAAGGGGACAATATAGATTTAGATGAACAAACTTGTATTTTTAATTTTCTGAATAAATTCCGGGAACTTTTTGATCAAGGTGGTATATGATCTAACAAGCATTCCTTTAGCGAAAGAGGAAGCCATGATGTTTTAAGTTGAACTACAACAATGAATTGACTAATAAAACTATTAGGTTTTATTTCTTTATCATAAGCAAAACGACTTCATTGACTAGCATACCTTTTAACAGGTTTACAAGTCATCTAACATTTAATTTTTTAATCCGAATTTTAAAACCCACAGTTATTGGGACAGGAATTGCTATAAGTAATTGAAATCTCAGGATAATAGAGGTATATTGTTCAAACCATCACTTTCCTCAATAAATTGAGTGAATGTTATAATGTGTGGTGCAATACTTATGATTTGGTGGAAGTGAAATTCCTTTAAATGACAAAAAAAAATGTTTTTCCTCTCACGTCTAAACCCTCGTGTGTTAATATGTACCACAGTGAAAGTGGAACCATTTTAAATTCTAAAAAAGGTTTAGTTATAAATTATCATTTAAATGCAAGCCTCATAAAAGTGCTAAAAAAATAAAGGCAACATGTTTTTAAAAAAATAAAATCAAAACTTTGTTTGGAACAATATACATGCAACAGAATACTTCTGAAAAGGTCAAACGGCTAATTAAAAATTGTATAATTTGTTCTATTTAAATAAAATAAAGTCAAATTTTGTCACTAAAGAATAATATTTACTCTTTTTAAATTCAGAAACAAAGTTTAAACAGTTTCAAATATAATTTCATTTTTGGAGCACTGAATAATTTGAGATCCAAGCAAAGAAAATTTGTATTGCACTGTTGCATTAAAAAAAATAATCAATAAGTTAAGATATTCCTACAAATTAATATTTAATTGAGCCCTTATCAAATAATTTTAAAGTAGGATTTCAACTATCTTGAAACAAAGTGAATATGCTGCTTAATAGTTTTGCACAAAAATAATTTAGTGGAAGACCCATCAATTTATCCTTTTAAAAGTTTTAGCTGGTTACTGCTTTGTTGATTGGAATCGATAATTTTTAAGATTAGATGAAATAAATGAGTCAATGATAGTGAAACTACAAAAGTCCACCCTACAAGTTTTGTTACTGAATTTGCTGAAAATGATTAAAAAAACACATGACCCCTGAATTCATCTACCATAAAAATGTGATAAGCTAAATTTGTTAAGTGAGTTCTTTTTCATAAATGATTTCAAACAGTCTGAAACAATGAATCCTGCGGGTAAGACTATATGCCTAAATGATGTATATAATTAGTGGCCGGACTTTAGGTTTAAACAAACAAATTTTGCAATTTTTACAAGCATTAGTAATAAAAATAAAAAAATGCTAGGTCAAACTTTAAATCCTTCAATTTTTTAAATCTGTTATAAATCCTTTGAATTTGTAGAAAAGGGGATGCTTTAAACACACAAAAATTAGAAATATTAGAACAAAAAACTAAAAATCAAGAAAAATAAAGACAAAATAATATCAGGGAAACTACAAAGCCTAGAAATTATTTGAAAAACTCTGACAATAACTACTGTAGTCTGAGCTTTGAGACACAAGAGCACATTAATTAATAAAAACTGAGGAGGGAAATCCGAGTATATATATATAAATGCTGAGTTTGGTAACAGAGGTATTCAGTTGAAAAGTTTCGGATAATGGAGGTTATGCTGCAATGGTTAAATTCTTTTGCGAATTAAGAAATTAAGACCATAAGCATTTACGAAAATCAGAAAAATCTAACTGAGAATATGGAAAAGCTTTTTTAAGAGATCAATGAATTTTGTGTGAATTCTGTACATGAAAATGCAACATACCTAAAATTCAGCACATAATTTTACAGCAAACTCTAATGTAATGGCAATACAATAAAATTATTTATCAATGAAAGTTTTAAATTCACTTTTATTAAAAAACAAAACTAAATAAATAAAACTATATCAAATGGAATGGGGAGGTAAACAATTAAGAAATATAAATAAAAACTCATTTATTTTCCATTTTATCACCCAATGTACCAAATATACTTCAAGTACAGTAGAGCGCCGATTATCCGAACTGCTCGGGACCGAACGTGGTTCGGATAATGAAAAGTTCGGATAATTGGAAAGTTGTTTAAAATCTAGTTTAAATGATTATTATTTATGCACTAACTTCCCTTTTTCCAGGCTTAGAACTGGCAGTACTATTTAAAATAGCTCTGGCGTGTTTAAAAAAAAAATTTCAGCAATTTTTCAATCGTTTTTATTTATTTACTTCCTTTTTTTTTCATTTTGAATTTTTTTGTCAATTACCGATTTAAACCTTCTTTGTCTATTTTCCATTGCAAAAGAAATCCAGTAAAGACTTTTGTTTTAAAGAAGATGCTCTTTTTTGAGCAGCCTTTATTCTTTTTAACTAAATCAACTGAACTGGATCAGCATCATTTTGACGTTCTAGNTTATTTATTTTTTTTATGAAATTTAATTAACAAATTTTAAAAGATAAATGTAAATATAAAGATAATCCTCCTAAAAATAATAAAGAAAGTGTATATTTATATATTAGGCAAAACAATTATTGACTAATATCTTATTTAATAGATATTTTAAAAATATTTTAGTTTCCTTAAAAATTCGAAGTAAGAAGGAAACTTTTAATAGTTACAACTCATAGCTCCTAGTTTCAACAATTTTTAACAGTTTTTATTCAAATAATTGTGCTTTATTTGTGTTTGTAATTATTCTTCATATCCACAACACACTTCTCAACCCCTGAAAAAAAAAAGTACAGTAGAGCGCCGATTATCCGAACTGCTCGGGACCGAACGTGGTTCGGATAGTTGAAAGTTGTTTAAAATCTAGTTTAAATGATTATTATTTATGCACTAACTTCCCTTTTCTCACTTTTTCCACGCTTAGAACTGGCAGTACTATTTAAAATGGCTCTGGCGTGTTTAAAAAAAAATTTTCAGCAATTTTTCAATCGTTTTTATTTATTTACTTCCTTTTTTTTTTTTTCATTTTGAATTTTTTTGTCAATTACCGGTTTAAACCTTCTTTGTCTATTTTCCATTGCAAAAGAAATCCAGTAAAGACTTTGTTTTAAAGAAGATGCTCTTTTTTGAGCAGCCTTTATTCTTTTTAACTAAATCAACTGAACTGGATCAGCATCATTTTGACGTTCTAGACTGTCAAAATGAAGCTCGCATTCTTGGAAAATAATTTTAAGTTGAAGAGGGCTAAAAGGGTATGTAGGTTTAACTGTATGTATGGCTACTATAAGAAAACTGCTAAAAAGGTTGTAAATTAAATATGGTCATTAAATGTAGTGGATATTATTTATTCTTCTGAATTTAGAAGAATTGTCGATAAGTTAAAAAGTTCTAAACTTGAAAAAAAGGGGGGGAAACGAATTCGGACATAGTTCGGATAATTGGACGTTCGGATAATAAGGGTTCGGATAATCGGCGCTCTACTGTATATTATTTCCGAAAGAGATAAATCAGTTTCATATTTTTATGACAAAAATTTATTGTCTACTGTCTAAATACTCTGTTTTAAAAAATAAGCCATTCCCCTTTATGTTTCAATCATTTTTTTCCCACAGCATTTACATATTACAAAGAAATTTTTTGCATAATTCTAATAAGTTTATGATTCCCATAAAATAAACATATCACAGCAAAAATAAATAGACAGATATATATATATAAAAGTAATAATAAGATAATACTGAAATTAGAACTGATAATAAGATAATTAAAAATATAAGATAAATGATCCGGCATTCTTAAATTGCATTTCTATAATTTAAAAACAAGCTAGCTTCTTAAAAAGAAATATTTCAATAGTTAGTACTTGTTTTATTAAGTAGAATAAAGATTGTGATCAATAGAGAAAATGAAGTTAGTATTATACATAAGTCAGTATCATATATATCCTTTTTATGTCATACATAAAAAGGATTCGTTTTTACATATTTAAAATGCGTACTTAAGGCTAAATAAAAGCATTAAAATTTATTTTATTTGAAAGCTAAAATTTATATTTTTCAAATATAAGATGTGGAAATAAATTTTCAACTAAAAACTTTTTTAATTTTCAGCTTATCTGCTCACTCTTTAGAATAAAAATCATGAAGATACTAGTTGGAAAATCAGGTAAGTTTAGGTAAGAACAGAAAGTTTATGTAACATATTGTTTTATAAAATAATGTACATTTTTATCGCCTTTATTCGCAAAGTTATTTTACGAGCATTTGCTTTAATAATAACATACAGTTAACTGTCACCATCTACTTTTTCTAAAATCTTCAATTCAACCAGGCATATATTGCAAACTTTCTTTGAAAATTTACAAAGCATGCAAAGCTTGGTTCAGCTTTAAAACAGATTTCATAAATTTTAGAGAATTTAATGATACAAGAAATTACAATAAATATATATATATATACTTCCAAGCAAGTAGTGCACTTGTTCTTGTAAAGCATGCCCACTGAAATTTTCCAATAACCTGACATACGCTATCACACTTCATTTGGTTAATTGCAGCTGAATATAGTGCTAAATGTTTCAATCTCTAATTTTAAAAAAGGAATGATCATTAGGAAGATTTACTCTACTAACAGTAAGGGAAAAAATAAATAAGAATATATAAATAAAAACAAATAATACGAACAATCTAACACTCTAAAATAAGGAAGTCAGCCATAAGAACGGGAAAGTATGATGTAAACTTTTGAGATGCATACTTAAGTCTGTGAGAGTCAAAATACATAGTCAAATTTGTATGAAACTTTCCAAGCCATAGTTTTCTATTGATTACTAATACATAAAAATCAGTTTGCTTCACATGATGAAAATAGGTTCCACCCCCCACCCCCCAAGTAAATTCAGTGTCAGCAGTCAAATGGCATATGTATCTAATTTTTTAATCTAAGCTAAATTAAAATTTTATTGATAAAACAATTGTTTTAATTATTATTTTATATAATACTTGATCATTTAAATTTCATAAAACCCCTTTAAATCAAGGATCTAAAAACTTATTAGCCTAAGGATAATACAAACTCTTCCACTAAGCCCTAACTAGCACAGGCATAATTTTGGGGAGGTCATCTCCCCAAAGCTTTAGAAATTTAAGGAAAACTGCTCTTATTTCCCAGTTTTAATCTATAAGAAACATTTTACAAATCATTTTATTTCTCCTGCCATTTGAGACATTTTGTGTATTCTCACTCAATTACCTATTATCTAGATCAGTGGTCCTCAAATTTTTTTCGGTTACAGAACCCTAAATGATCGAGTGTCTTTTAGCGGAACCCCCATTTTAAAAATCAATGTTGTTTTTTTAAAAAAAGAACTTAATAAATGGTTCTCAGAGAAAAATAATTCCTTATTCTTGAATTTAGTTATTCTATTTTAAATTGATGATAAATACTGATACAATTGTGATGTAAATGAATATTTTTTCCATAATTCCTTTTTTATTCCTATTACATTATATGTACTGTAATTGGAAAGCATATATATTTATTTAAATTTTGCTATTTATTTTTTCATCGGCAATTTATTTAAATAGTTTCATAAAATTAACCGAAGTATAAAATAAATAACAGATTATTGGTTGGAATTATAATTGGTTAAAAAAAAAAAATCATGAAATCCTAGGAATTTTTCCACGGAACCCTTAGGTTCCTCAGAACACCTTTTGGGAACCACTGATCTAGCTCATAATACCACTGAACTGTATATATTAAATAAGCGCAAATTTTAGTTTCAGAAACAGAGACTAAATTAGGGATCTCTGCCATTATAGGATGTCACTTATGTTTTCCTGATAAATTTCATATCCAATTAAAATATTGAATTTCTTGAAACTTAATAAAGACCAGTTAGGCCTGCTACTGCAGGCTGAATATGTGATGATAGGAGACTGGTTTGAGCTTGCTGGCTTTAATTTGGTGAAATCTGCTTTATTATCAACAATCAATGCTTCTTTGGTTTAAATAAGGAAAGAAAAAAAAACACCAAGAGAATACATTTTTAACAAAATTGTAAAGAAATAAAACTAATTCTAGTTTAGAGAATATAAAGAAATACAGTGAGTATCTTAGAAGAAGGAAAATACTTAAGTCACTATTGATTCTTACAACTCTATAATACCGGCAGAGGAATCAATGGAAAGTCTGCAAGTCCCAGTCTCGCTGAAAGTTCTTAGAAGAGGAAAAGGAGGAGGAGAAAAATAATCTCCTTCAGGACTAGAATCTTCTTCTTGTGCCTCAGTCTGAGAGTTATAATTATTTATGGAATTGGCTAATTCTTTAGATAGTTCATGGTTTACTGCTAAGTGAAGAGACATGGTTTCCAACCATTCCTTTATAATATTAAACGAAGGCCTAGAAAAATGCATTCAAGAGTTAATAAATCTACACTCTCACCAATTTTGTGATTTGCAACTTACAAGGTTTTCCAAAATTCACAAAACAAATTCAGATGGGGGAGATGAAAGACATTAAAAGGATGAACATGAGATGGCAAACTACCTTAAGAAGGTGGAAACTCATGCTAGTGTCAAGGCCAAGCTGGATAACAATGAAAAATGCTATAAACTTGTAAACAACAAAAAGATTTATGTGATTAATTATTACAAAAGTTGTTTGAAGTGCACCCACTAATTGCACAGTATACAAGGATGTAAAAATAATTCCCGGATTCTCTTGAAAAGATGCACAATGTCCTGCTGAGGTCCGCTGAAGAAACGACAATCTATACAATGAAATCCTCCAGTATATCTACAGGAGTCACAAAAACTACTGATTTAAGGTGATCCAATAGGAAAAAGTGACCTATGATTGACATTCGGCAATAGTTAAGGCCAAAGAATGGGTCCCACACGTCCAATACACTCGGGATCTCAGCATGTTTTGAAACTTCATATTCATGTTTTCATTCTCTGAATGTCTTCCACTGATTTAGTAAAGGGAATTTTGGAACAACCTGTATACTTTTGCTAAAGCAATTTCTATGAATGTAACAAATATTTAATGCACAATTTAAAAAATGTAACATAAATATATGATAAAATACAGCGGTATAAACCTTCATGTTAGCTATTAGAAAAATTTTATCAAAATTAGGCTGCAACATTTGTAAATGTATATAATTAACCCCAATTGACATCAAACATTTTGAAAACATGATAAGCAATTATAATTTTTATAATGGATTTTAAAAGTAGAAAAATATTTAGAAAGATTAACAAACCAAAAATATTTATTAAAACTAAAACCAAACAAAAATAAATTACAGTAGGGTAAACTTCCTATTTACCTAAAAGGAAAATGTATAAACATTTCACAAGAGGATTTAAAAAAATATGCATGCAATAAACTGTAAATTCCACCAAATGTCAAACAGATTAAACACTTACATTTTTTATAATAGCTTATAAAATGAATAAATAATTAGAATAATTAACAAAAACTAATAATGATTAAAGATAAAAACATAAATGAAAAAACTACATTTATTAAGCAGACTAAAACCAAAAAAGGAGAGACATTTCACAGACAACTTTTAGTGGTGATCCTGCAACCTACACTTTCATTTCAGTACAGGCAAAAACCTTTTCAGTCTACTTGTAACTTTGAAAATTTTATTTCATTTTCTTCTTTTGTTCATAGTAGACAGTTTTTTTGATTAGAGAATAATTTTACACACCCCATTTAAGATATGGCACAGAGTTCAGCTTAAAACTCTTAACTAGCCCAAAAATGGTCAAAATTTGAATGGATAATATGATCCTTATGGCAATAAATTCCGTTTGTAGCCATCAGAACATTAATGCTTATATTGTCAGCCGCCAGAGAGCTTTAGTTAAAATTCAGACAATTAAGCTAGTTGGGCAGTGCGAAAATATTTATTAATGATAAATTCCCAGTTACTATAAATTTTGTATATAGTAGCTGTGATGGCTCAGGGGATAGAGCGTACCCCTTCCAACGAGGTGAACTGGGTTCGATCCCAGCAATGGCTTGTCGATACGAATCCGCATCCAGATTGCACCAACCACAGTGCTGACGTGAAATATCCTCAGTGGTAGAACGGTCATGGGTTAGAGTCCCCTTGTCGTCAGGCTAACTGTGGGAGGTTCTCATGGTCTTCCTCTCCATGTAACACAAATGCGGGTTAGTTCCATCAAAAAGTCCTCCAGGAGAGCAAATTTCTCCCAATACTTGATCCAGAAGTTCACTTGTCTTCCAGATTGGGTTCAAAATTACAAGGCTACGGAGTTGAACATTAGTAGTCGTAAATGTAGTTGTCAGCTGTTCAATGACGGTAATAAAATTAGTATTTGCTTGTATAAAATTAGTATTGAAGCTTGTGCTGTTATCAGGCAAAGTTTCAGGTGCAGTTTGTGCATTCTACTAAGTTAAAATTTTGATTGAGGACAAATTCTACTTGGTGATAAAATGACAAGCAATCACTAAGCGGACAAAACAAAACACTCAAGATGGAAGTTTGAGCACTCTAGCTAGTCTTTTTAGCTAAACGCTTCGAAATACAAAATTCAAGTTCCAAGCCTCACAAATGCGAAAGAGAGAAAATAAAAACTCAATAAATTACAAAACAAAATCATTGAGCATGCAATGACATAATATGGTTTAAATAATCTTGTTAAAAAGGAATACATGCCAAAATTATTATTATTTCATTCTATTTTAAGGATAAAATCTATAACTGAAAATGAAGAAGATATTTGTAGGATTAACATTAAAATGATTAAGGTTTTACACTTCTAAATACTCAGGAATGATATCTGTAACTTGCCACAAATTTTATTTAAATAGCTAAATAAAAGGCTAAAATTCTACAGATCCTGAATACTGCATGCTGATATAAAATAACACACACATGCTCTTACCATTTGAATTATAAATTCAACTTTCTGACAGCTAAAAATATAAAAAGGTCTTTTTAAGAATTGAAGAAATTAATATTAATTAAAAAGGCACATATACCAGAATTTAAATGAAAATAAAAATAGCTAATAAATTGTGATACCCGGAGAAATAAAGTGAAGAAATTTAGAGCTAGTTTTATATTTTAAAAAAAAATCAAAAATCTTTTCACATTACAAAATTTCTGAGTTCAAGGTAGAATTTTGAAAAATGTTTGGTTAGGAGGGAAAAAAATGAGAAAGTTTAGAAGAAGAAATGGAGATGTGAAAAAGAATAAAATATGAGGTGTTAAATAAATGTGTACAATAAGTTTTTAACTGAATGCTAAAATTTCACAACTATTGATGCATTTCTTTTATTTATTTTTTATCAAAAAGCTATTTAAGATAGTATGAAACTTGACAAATCGATAAATGAGAAATGAAATTACTCCTTCTGCACAGAATAAAGGATTGAAAGAATATTTTATAGTTATTATCCTTATTTATTTTTAAAAATTCATTTCATTTTATACGTTTTTAATTTGCTGGTAAAGTTTGCTTGATCATTTAAAAGAGTTTTGAAAGAAAAAAGAAAAACTGAAATTTATTGGTGACAGCAAAATAAATAAATCAAAAAGTAACAGATTAGAACTCAATATTTATAAGAAAAAATATGTTTTGACTAGCTATTTCTTAAAACTCTTGCGTCTAAATCCTTGGTCTTTAAATTTCAAATAAAAAAAATTTTTGATCATAAGAATAGAATTCCTTAAATTGTGCTTGAAATTATTCTTTTCAAACACGTATATGGACATTTATTATAGACATTTGTATATTAAAATTAAATAAACTCATAGAGAATAATATTTATATGACAAAAACAGTTTTCTAAGTTTGCATACATCTTCAAATATGAAATACTAAACTATACTCTAATATAACTAATACTATAATACAAATATTTCCATTTTTTTAAAAAACTTGCTTAAGAAAAAAAAAATTTTGTCTATAAATTTCTTTAGCAAATAAATTTTTTAACCATAAAACAAAATTAAAGTTTAAATGTAAAATTATTCGTAGAAAACTAAGAATTTTTATTAAATTTTTTAAAGAAAAAATTATTAAAAAAAACTGAGTTACTTCAATTTACAAAAGTAAAAAAATTTTTGTAAAACTACCAAAGAAAATCATAAATTGAAGTATTTCAATAGAAGGATGAATTTTTTTTTTCAAAATGTACAACAGCCATTAATGTAAAAAAAAAAAAAAAAGTATTTTGGTCAAAATATTTCATTTTGCGTCTCACTATTAAATTCTAGTTTTAAAATTAATTTAAAAGGCATGTTTTAAAAAAATGACAACCAATGCAAATTATTACTTTCAGAATCACAAGTATACCTTTTTTCAGGAGAAATATCACAACATTTAAATGCTATTTCAGAATAAAGCTCAGGACAACCATCACAAAACTTTTCTTTAAAAGCTGCAACATTAAGTCCAAAATCTGAACTTCTAGGCAAGATATCAGGATCAGCAGGAATTCTACCAATTATCTACAAAAAAATTAATTAATTAATTTTTTACATGGAAATGGAGGATAATCAAGGTTTGAGCATGAGCACTTAAAATATTAATATTACTAAACTAAACTCAGTGGCGCAACAGCCCATAAAGGGCCATGGACTACTGTGCCCATCTCAGTTTTCTTGACCTTTATGCTCTGGGGTGCAAGAGCAGATATTCCGGTTGGATGGTCAGCTTAACGCAAAACCCTCAATGTTTAGTTCCCATACATGCTTCATACTAATTTTATCGACCCACTGAAGGAATGAAAGGCTGAGTCAACCTTGCCTGGCCCGAGGATCCAACCAAATACATGCGGCACACGACCACTCAGTCACAGAGCATTAAAATTACCACCTAATATACTATAATAGGTAACAACTTTTAAAATGTTCACATTTCTAACTTGTTAAAAATTTTGAAAATCAATCAAACACAAGGGAACAAATTGATTGCTGCATTTATACAAATAATTGATCTTGCCTATAAAGAAGTGGAATTTTCAATCTGGAATTAGTTTTTCTCTAAAAGATATAGAATTTTTTTACTTTTAGTCTATTTTTTGTCGAAATGTACAAGCCTAAAATCATTTTAAGGTAACAAGGGAACCCATAATTGTTGTGACAGAGTTAGGGCACATAATCAGGATTAAAACTGCATAGATATCTATACCCGGAAATGTCACCTTACACTAGGTGAGCTTCCCGATTATGACTTGTTCAGAAGCACATGAAGGAAAACACCCCTAGTGGCCTATGACAGCATTTGCAGCATAGGTTCCAATGAAACTTTAATCCTGAGGATGTGCCCAATCTTCCCTAGAAATTTGTCACAACATTCAAGCGATTCCCTGTTAGATATAACGTTTTAAACTTGTACAAAAAATAGATTAAAAATGTCACTAAAAGACAGTAGCTTTGAGAGAGAAATCAATTGCAAATTTCAAATTAGCAATGTGAATGAATCTAAGATTTGCTAATAAAAAAAAAATTCATGTAACAAAAACAAAAAATTGTTCCTCAGCGTAATTAATGAATTAATTTGAATCTGAAGGGTGAGGACAATTTTACATTATATAATTGTATTGCCTCACATTTAATCAGATACATTCAATTGCTTTTTCTTTAAATTAGATTATTCTCAAATCATAAGCATCGGGTTTACTTTTAGTCAGATATAGTCATAAATTATTGTACTTGAATATGAAATAAAATGACTAAGCCCAATCTTCTGTAAATATTTGTTCAATATCAGAATAAAATAAGCATGTGAATGCTTGGCAAAGGATAACTAAAACTAAACAATATTAAGCATGGCTATATATATATAAAAACTCACCTTTTGTCAGTAGAGTCCTATAATTAATAAAGGATAGCATGAAAAATTAAAATGGGCATTTTAAATTAATGAAACATTGGAAATGAATTAGAAACACATTACACTCGCATAAACAAAAACTAAATCTGAAACTTCAAAAAATGTAAGGTTTAAATTGCTCAGCAATTCTGTTTAATTTAATTTATACAAGTTGTCATATATATTCCTCGGCGTATTGCACATTAGTTGATTAATTCACACTTAAAACTGTCTCACCTCACACAAAATGATACCAAAAGAAAATATGTCAACACGCTCATCATATTTTTTATGTGACATCATTTCAGGCGCCATCCAATAAGGATTTCCAACAACGGTATATCTTTTCTTTCTTTCAGGGCGACGATTTCCCGTGCTCGATTTTCGACTTAATTGCTTATCGAGCATAACACGCGCCAGTCCAAAATCAGCAACTACAACACTTTTATCCTAAAAAGGATGAAATAAAAATAAACATCATAAAGTAAATCAATACAGCTTAGTTTTATTAACATAATCATTATAACATAACATGATTTGGGTAAATGATATTTGGGGGAATCAAAAAACTTAATACAAAAATTTATATATTTCAATTTAGAATTTGATTATCTTATTGTTTCATCTTTAGACAAACTATCTTACTTTCTCTTAAAAAATATTCCAAAATGCATGTTTATAATTTTATTGCAACCTTCATTTCTGTGTACTTTTAGCACTTAATAATCATTTACTGGTAAATTAATAATAATAATATCAGTATAAACTTATAATGGCTGCATGCAAAATTTATTTTTGCATATTGTTATAAACAAAACAATGTAAACAATTAAGTGACTTTTAATCTTAAAAGTCTCGTTTATTTTTTTAAATGTGATAACAATTAATAAAAAAAATAGAATTTTGCTTATAATTCTGGGAAAAACATATTATGAATAAAATATAATATGAACAAAGAAAATATATTCTAAAAAAGTACTTTAAAAAAAAAACAATGTAATGACATAAGAGATGTACCAGGTCTAAAAATATTGCTGAATCTGGAGCCCTGGTGAAAATTAAGTTTTTTACTCAGCCAATTACAGGTATGCAGTAAAATTTTGGTTAATTACCTGGTCAGTTATTATAACATTCATGTAAAAAAATATTAAAGTCGTATAATTTTCTAGCTAACAAATATTTTACAAGACATAGTTCTAATGAGGCTCATTGCACATCTATATAAATAAAACCACAAGTTTTTTTTTTTTTCCAAAGATAAATTTAAAAAAAAAAAAATTCTAAAAGAAATTAGGAATAAGTGTTCACATGCGTAAAATGATTAACGTAAAATTTTGATATGCAAACATCTGTTAATAGTAGATTTTATAACAAATTTTTCATTTGATCTACTTAATTTTCAATAGCATTTACTTGTGTAGATACTGTTTAACCTAGGATATTTTTTAATTATTTTAAAGACAATACGGTATATTAATGAAAAATGTTTTAACTATGAAGACTTGATTTTTAATCATCCGAACTATAAATGCAATTGATGAGCAATGAGATTTATCTTAGTACAATCTCTTAAAACTTTTGATACATGCAAAACTTCATCTTATCACCAATGATGAAATGAAGATTAATAAAGCGACTTTGGTGCCCTCAATGTTACAATACTGTCCCTGTATCTTGTTAATTTTTAACTCCCAAAAGGTAAAATAACTACTACTAGATCAAGCAACAAATAAGAGACAAATTTGCTTTCATGAAAAACTTTTTCTGTCAACCTAATGCATATTTGCGTTACACAGATAAAAATAAAAACACAGAAACCTCCCATGGTTAGCTGGATAGTAAGATAACTTTAACGAGGCTGTTTGGAAATTGATTTTATTGAGCTAGCTGTTAAAAAACATGCTTTCTAGTAAAAATTTGGCTTCAACAACCGTTGGCCAATTTTTTAATACATGCTCCTCTTAAAAATAAAAAAATAAATATAAAAAACGCAATCACCTTTTGCAGAAAATATAATAATATATTTTTCAAAAAGAATTTCTAGTTGACTTAAGTAAAAATAAAGATTTTTTTTAAAAAATTGCTTTTATTTACATAGAAAATTAAGGGTTAAAAGTAGTATTACCATAAGAATAAGTAATGTGTCATTTGTACGAAAATACTTACGTTCTGTACTAAATTTCTAGAAAATGGCTAAGCCTCCAAATCCAAATAATGAAAATAGTATTTACTCATTTTCTAAATGCAAATTCATTAGGTGAGTAATATACATATATCACTCTTTTATACAGTTATCTTTGAGTTTTGATACTTTTATTATTTTTAAATAAATACATGTAATTTTCTACTTTAAATTTTGTAATTATATGCGCATCATATTAACTTAGTTAAAATAGTTTTCAGCATTAGAGTTCTGTATTTGCATACTTTTTTCTAAACGGACACCTCTCTTTAATGAACATATTTCTCTATCCTAAAGGTGTTCACTTTACCAAGCTTCTCAGATTAAAAATTCTTTACGAGAGGAAATATCTCTAGCCAAAACGAAATATTTGAGTTAGATGATTAAACTAATAGAATACATAGATTTCAAAAACTAAATTCATTTTCATGAACAATTTTAAAGCTACTAAAAATCGAAATCTGATTCAACCGAACCTAAATAAATGTTAAAAGTCTTCAGAGTAAAAAAATCAGGTTGGTGTATCTGGTAGTAAAATTCTTTTGCTGTGACTCAGTAATAACCAGCTAATGAAAATCTGTCTTAATTGAAATATTTAAAATTATAATCAAAAAGATGTTCATACCTCTCTCACTAAGCAATTGTTAGAATTCAAATCCCTGTGAATGATATTTTTTGAATGCAAATAAGCCTGAAAAAAATCATTAAGAAAAATTAGTAACCAAAAATTATAACAAAAAGAAATATTCTCTAGACTCTGCTTTGAACATTTTAAAATCTTTAGAAATAAAATTTTTATACAGTAGTAAAATTTCTATACTATGTTGCAATTAACAGAAAAGAAGAATTTTTTTTTTTTTTTTTTGAAAATTTATACATCCTTTAGCTGTAGATCAAGTTGCACAAAACAGACAATTTTTTTGTTCTAGTATTTAAACATTTATTCATTTCAAAGATCAATAGTTTCGTTTTACTTATAAAACATCAGCATCGCAAAGGCAAAAGCAATAACTACACTGAATGATTAGTAATATACCAAGTCAAGTGAAAGAAAGAAAACTTCTAAACAATTTGGAACTTTGAAAAAAGAACTCACAAAGTGTTTATAATAGTAATAAAATTCAACTCTCTAGTTCCATTTCAGCAGGCAATAGATCAGTCATACTGGGGGGGNGGGGGGGGGGGGGGTTTACCGCAAGTTTAACAATTGACAATTCTCAAACTAAAGATTGAATCTTTATTTTTTTTTATTCCATAGTAATTTTTAGAATAAAAAAAAAAGCTTGTGTCAAGTTCAGAAACAAAAATGGCTCTTTCAGCTTGTGAAATTAAAACTCTGTAGTTCCATCTCTGTGGCTTCTAGAGCGGCCTGCATGATATTATTTCCTACACATTTAACAGTTATAATTCTTAAATTATTTATTGCATGCTTAATATTTCATTGGATTGTACTCCCTGTACATCTTTCTATACAACTTTGCAATTTCAAGTTTCTAAGTTTTATTAGTTTTTGTACAACGAAGCAAAATGTAACGTCAAATTGAACAACCATAACTGCAGCAACGATTTATGAGAATATTTTATTTAATATTTAAAGTGGTAGTAAATTTTATGATTTAACATTTCATTATTAATTTAATAAATTTAATTCGGGATGAATTTTTCCACCGCTACATTCAAACTTAAACATTTATGTAAAACCTATTACTTGTGCAGAGAAATCTTCAAGTGTGGTCAAAATTAAATAAATTAATCTAAGCTTAAATTGTTATTTTGCTACCATCTTAAATAATCTGGGAAGCTAGAACTTTCGGGTTAGCAAATAAGAAAGATAAATCTAAATAATTTGTTCTCCTGATTAAATTCTTTATAATTACTAATAATGTTTCATTCCAAAAGTTTGTTGTATTTTTTAAACAAGATTTTAAACTGTATTCATCATCAACAACACTGACACGACAGCACTTTGTGGCCCTGGGTCTTTAGAAACTTTTCCCAATATATTTAAACTGCATCAATGCAAATTATTTATTGTGTTGGGGGATTATACATCATAGTATAATATTCTTTATCAACAGAGTTTTAGATTTTTTTTTCTCTACAAAATGGCTTATTAGATGAAATGTTCTACTAACAGAATGATTTCTATGAAACGACCTGTCAATGCAATAATTGATGCTGAAATGAATACTACTATAGTTTAGGATAATAAAAAAAAGAGCAGATGTTGATCCATTAACCGGTCTCAGTTAAATGCTCAACTAACTATCAGTTTATTAAAAAAAATATTAAATTAAAACACAATTTTCATTCATAAACTTATTTCAGTATCCACTCATATTGGATACAATATTCGTTGATTCTAATTCACTGACAATTCTGAATAATTCACTGTCTTTTTACCCTTGTTCTTTTCTTCCTTCATTCACACTTGCTACATCAAGAATCTTTTAAAATAGTTATTGCAATTGTCTTTGAATGAAGAAATGCCAGTGACATAATGTGTAACCTAAGAAACACTAAAATAATTTCAAAATTACACATGACCCTATGAATGAAATGAACCTGTCGGAGAAATTACTATTTGACGGAATTACCAAATTGATCAATAATTAATTATTTGTCAATGAAGTGGCGTTAGCAAATTAATTGTAGCGAAAAAGTAAGGCGACTTTTACATTTTCGTCCTCCCTATGAAAACGGGCATGATAAAAAATAAATAAAAAATTTCTCAATGAGACCAGACTTTTTTTACCAACATAACATGGGAGAGAGGGAAACAGATTTCTCCTTGTTTCTATAATAGCTTGCATCCTTTCACTCTAGTAACTAATAATTAACTAATACTCGCACTAGTAACACACTAATGCAGTTGCTTAATTATGGTATTGTATAACAGATAACTATAATACAATAAAATATGCACTATGATAAAGTTTAATGATGAGTAAATATACTTAGGGAAATATTGCACAAAATTTTCCAGAAAAATATATAGTGAAGAAACTTGGTATATTTTAGATTTTTAAAAAAAAAAAAATAATGATAATAATGTGGGAGGGGGGGGGACTTTTAAAAAGTTGAAGTTAAAGTGAATTTAATTTCATAACTTTAGATAAAAAGGAAATAATTTCTCAAATTGTAATAATAATAGAAAAATATTGCTTAATAAAACACATATAAAAGAAATGCTAGTTTTATAACAGACAAATGTAAATTTACCATTCCAGAAGCTATATCTTTAGAAAAATTAACTCGCTGCAACCAAGATATATCCACTGACTTATCATGAATGAAGTCTTGCAGTGTGCCCCCTGATAAGAATTCAGTCAGTAAATGCAGCTTTTGATCTTTGTAGAGCACACCAACAAACCGCAAAACATTTCGATGCTCCAAAGAGCGCAGGACAGCAATTTCTTTGACAAAGTTCTGTTGAGCCTCCTCATCCAGTCTATAAAGTTCTTTCATCACCATTTTCTGCCCTGTGTGCCTGTGAGTGACCTGAAATAGAAAGTAATATAATATTTTAAATACAGTAGAGTCCCGATTATCTGAGTTTCCGCTTTAACCGAGATATCAAATACTTCAAGGATTGTTCTTTTTTGTTGTTCTAGTTAATTTTTTATTTTTAAAACTACCATCGAAAAAAAATTCTGAATTTTATCTTCCAAACACTCAGGAAAACAAGTTGACAGACAACACGAGATAACCGATGAAATGATCTTTAATATCGTCAATAATGAAAATGAATCTAGCGAAAATAATGAAGACAGTGACAATGAAAATCAAAGCATATAAAAAAACTCTCCTACAGATGAACTATAAGCTATCGAAAGTGCTATTGAATATATAGAACAACAAAAAGAGGAGAAACTGGCCTTCCTGTTATCCCCAAACTAATGGTGAAATATTGCTTTTTATTAAACCAGTAGACCAGGAGAAACTGGCAAAATCCAATAATCTACTGGAAAATACAGAAGAGTTGGCAGCTATGGCTATATGGATCTTCTTTTCAAGGTTGGTAATAAATAAAAATTTTATTTATCAAAAACTTGTGCAACCCTTAATAATGTAGTTCCAATTATAGGTAAATTACATTGAAAATTACTATAAAATTATATTTCAACCATTTTTCATTCGGTATATATTTAAAAAAACACATAAAAAATATCCTTCATTAACCAGGAACTAAATACAGTGAAACCTCCGTTAAGCGGACATTCATGGGACCAAAAAATTTGTCCGTTTATGAGAGTTATCCGTTTACGGGAAGGGTACCCTAATAACGAAATTTAACACCGTAAATTGTTTTTAGAATATTCTCAAAAACGTAGAAACAATTAAATAATATCTACAAGGATACTGTAAATATCTACAAGAATATTTATTTAAACATTAAGAAAGATAAAAAGGAATATATAAAGAAGTTGGATATAAATACATAATTCTGGATGTAGCTACAGATAAATAAATATAATTTTCCTATTAGCATAGATACTCAAGTTAGACATATGATACCAAATAGGAGCGTACTGTCCTCAGTCCGTTTCAATTATTAGGTTCACATCCCCTTACACCTACTTATCATTTGATAGGGAACATGGTTAATACCTTCTTGGAAAATAAACCTCCCATGATTCACAGAAAAAAAAGTAATGCATACCTGTAAGTCATGAGGACCTATGGAGATGATTATTCACAATTGATCAGCTATCAAGTGTCTGAATAAATGTTTCATTTATATAAACACCTCAAAGATTATACTTCTGTTCTCTTTTTTTTACCCCAGTTGTGTTAAATACAGTCTTCAAATTGATAAGAAAATTAAAGAAATTTTCAATGGGGAAGAAGCATTGAGAGAAGTCATTTCAACTTGAGGGGTCTCATAACCTGTGTGGTCCAGATGAAAAGATCAAAAGATGCCGATGTCAGAATTATTTCAGGAGTGCAGTACCATTTTCTCTCCTTTCTTTACAAAGATAAGGCAAGGTGACAGGAGAAAGATTGATTTTTCGGTGGTGAAATAGCTTAACAATATTTTTAGTTATGGATAAGGCAAAAAGTTTTATTTACATGCTTTAAAAATGGTGAAAAGTTGAATTTTTTTAGCTTGCAATTTATTTAGAAAAAATAGTGTCCGGTTTGTAGAGATTAAAAACGTTTCAGGACCAAAATGACTGTCCGCGTCCAGTCACGGGAGTGTCCGCTTTGCGGAGAATGTACGTAATGGTTTATTCATAGAAGATTCCCGGGGAATTAAAAATATGTCCGTATTGAGAGGCATCCGTTTTGCAGGAGTGTCCATAACAGGAGGTTTCGCTGTATATCTAATTAGAATTTCAAATAAATCAAATGAATAATAAAGTTACATTGTCCTCCATCATTATCTGTCTCCATGGCTTAAAATCTCACATAGATCATTCTAAATTTCTTTTATACAATTTTTAGATATAGTGTAAAATGGGTAGAAAATGCAAATATAAACGCAAATGCTAATATTAATATAAATATGAGTAAAAAATTTACTTAGAACTTCTTGTAAAATATTAATTCAACGATCTTATATTGTTTTACACAAATGCCATGATACTTGGAGGGGTATTAAATCCTGTTTTTACAAGGAACTGTCTGAGTAACAAATAAAATGTGTGAAAGGTACCTGAAATAAGTTGGATAAAAGATTGTTTTTGTCAGGTATAGACTATGTGGAGACCCAGAAACTCAATAAATATCTAATTAGTAAGTAAACTGTATCAAAAAAATAATTATAACAACCATACAACTTTTATTATTCCTAGTTTTAAAACTCAACTCTTTAAGAATGAATTTTACAAAATATTTTTAATTTGCAAAGTGCAATAAATAATTTTTGCAAAATTGTTTTAAAATTTTTACTCACAAGAAAAGCTTGACCAAAGAAACCCCTTCCCAGCAATTTTCCTAAAACAAGATCAGAAGGTCGAAATATCTGTTGATTCTTTGTTTGTACTCTAAATGAACGAGTTCTTGCAAAATCATATTGCTGTCCCCTTGACGATTTAAAATCTCTGTAAGATGGAAAATAAAAATCATCATTAAAATATCATTGCAAAATGATGAATGTCTTATTATTAATGCATAAATAATGATGGTATTTTTAATTAAATTCTAAAATAGGAGGAAAAAAAGATTTAAGAAAAATATTTCCATCATTGAAGTTAAAAAATGTCACTACAAAATCATTTTGAAAAGAAAATTTTATACATCTTTTTTGTTAAATAAAATTATATTATATTAATATTAAATTGAATTAAACTGAGATGTACAGAATAAATATTTCAGAAAAGTAACCATATCTATAATATCTCCATCTTCTCTGTACTGAAAAGGTTTTCACACATATTTGTACAAAAAATTTCATTTGTATTAATATCACAATATTGCCTAAAACACAATAGAAAAATTATATTTTTTGGACAATAATTTTTGAAAGGTTTCCATAATATATATGTATATATACAGTGAAACCTCGATTAAGCGGACACTCTCGGGACCGAAAAAAACGGTCTGTTTACGGGAAGGGTACACTTATGAAGTTTAACACCGTAAATTATTTTTAGAATATTTTCAATGATATAGAAATAATTAAATAATATACAATGACTATCCACAGGGATATTTATTTAAACTTTAAAAAATATTTTTATCTATACAAAAAGAATAAATGAAAAAAGTTTGATATAAATACACAATTCTAGATTATAGCTACAGATAAATGAATATAATTTTCATATTAACACAGATATTCAAGTTAGTCATATGATACCGAATAGGAGCTTTTAGTATTCAGTAAGTTTAAATTACTCTATTATTTTAATTACTACCCTAACACCTACCCATCACTTGATAGGAAACATGGGTAATACCTCCTTGAAAGTAAACTTCCCATGATTTACAGAAAAAAAAAAGAAATGAATACATGTACAGCAGGAGGAGCTGTTGAGTTAATATATTCACAATTAATCATCTATCAAGTGTCTGAATAAATGTTTCATTTATATGAACACCTCAAAGATTATATTTCCGTTCTCTTTTTTTTTTTTACCCCAGCTTTGTTAAATAGTCTTCGAATTGATAAGAAAATAAAAGAAATTCGCAGTGCATTGAGAGTAAGCATTGAAAGCATTTAAGATGTCATTTCAGCTTGTTGGGTTTCATAACCTGTGTTGTCCAGATAAAAAGATGATGTCTAAATGATCATTTGCTCTTCTTTTTTTGCAAACATAAGGCAAGGTTACAGGAGAAAGATTGATTCTTTAGTAATAAAATAGCTTGACAATATTTTTAGTTATGGATAAGGCAAGAAAAATTTACATGCTTTAAAAATAGCAAAAAGTTGCGTATTTTTTTCTTGAAGCAGAAAAAATCTTTTTTCAAATTTAGAAAAAATAGTGTCCGGTTTGACGGGATAGAAAATAATGTTTCATCGTAAACATGACTGTCCGCGTCCGGTTACAGGAGTGTCCATAACAGGAGGTTTCACTGTATATATATGTATGTATGTATGTATGTATGTATATATATATATATATATATATATATATATATA